CCCTGCCACTCTGTCCTCTGTCCCCAGTGTGGGAAAGCTAGGCTGGACATGTGCCTGAGGATGCCCAACCCCACGGAGGTGAGGTCTGCAACTCCCGAGCCTCACGTGTCCCACCATGGCCTGTGGTCTCAGCCTGCCACGCTGAGCTCTGCCTCGCTCACTCTCCCTGCCTTGGTTGCTTCCCCTCTTGGTTCCTCTTTTCTGAGCTGTGTCATTCCCTGTGCAGGGCGTCTACGTGTCTGCGGCTGCCTGTGTCTGTCTCTCTCTCCCTCTGCCTCCCTCACTAGCTGGGTTCCCCTACTCCCTTCTTGCTCTGCACTTTTCAAAAGTGGTTAGAAGGATCCTCCTGCCTTCCTCTCTACCCTGCTGTCGAACGTTTTGTCTCACATCTCTGTCCTCACAGGCCCAGGAATGAGCACCTGTCACACAGCTTATCCTGCGCTGTGGCTTTCTGAGGAGCAAAGAGAGAAGAAAGGAAAGTATGGGCATTGTTTGCAACAGAATCTCCAAATGCATTCTCTTCCATTATACAATGCAAGACCACCATGATGCCCCAGCTCCATTTCCCACAGCCAAGCATGTGGATTCTGCTGTTTGACACTGCACAGGATGATGTGCAATTGTGCACATGCATCTGTGTGGATACCTGGGCATGTGTGAATGTGTGCCATTCTAATGTGTATTCATTTGGGAGGTTTTTTTGGTATCAGGAATCAAAGTCAGTATCTTGCTGTTGCAGGCAGGCGTTTGCACTACTTCTCTATTTTCCTGGCCAATTGTGTATTCATTTGTGCCAGGAGATCTTATACTTTTTATTTTCCATAGCTTTAAGTTTTTGACATCTGTCTCTTTTCCAACCACGTTTCTAGCTCACTAATTTTTTATTGGTGTAAGTTTGCAAAGGAAATAATTGCATTTGATTTGTGGAGTTGGCACATGTGTGTATATGTGTGTGCGTGTGTGTGTATCTGAGTGTGTGGAGTTATTCACCTTCTTTCCCTTTTTCTCCCTTGACTCTCATTTGCTTCGCCATCTCCTCTGTATTGTTTACCAGTTCTCCTTTATCATCACCCCAGTAGTCAATATTTTAGCTTTGTCTTTCCGTTTTGTCACTATAGGTTTTAAAAGTAACATTGTGGGATTTATTTTTCTATTCACACGCCTGTAATGGTTCGTTTGCATACTGCATGTCCCTGATCTGCTTGTGCATCCCTAACACACCTCTGTGAGGACAGTTCTAATTCTTTCAAGTTTTTGGTTCTACTTTGCCACCAGTTCTGCTCCCTCTAGCACAACTTGTCCTGTCTCTCCTTCTATTCCTTACACCTCCATTCCTGTGATCTGACACAGCTCATGCCTGCAGGTCATGTCTACCTCATGCTACCTTCAGCTTTCTGAACCACTATAACTACCTGCCACTTGTTCAACTCCAGATTCTCAGTTATTCAGGTGAGTTTGAGAGTGAGAAGTGTATGTTCTATCTGCTCTGGTCCCTGAACAATCACTGAGCTCATTCTCAATTCCACAGCTTCAGCCACAGAACTTGCCCCTGGGCAGCTGTTCACCATGGTAATGAGGGGGAAGTACACTGGTATCTCTACCATGTAGCAGATGTCCCAGGAACACAAGGATGTCATAACATCTTAAACTCAGTAACACCATTTCACACTTGAAAACTCCACTTTCAGTCTTAATAAAATTCCACAAGAAAGGAGGCACATTTCATCTTAATGTATTTGTAAAGCAGATTCAGTGAAGTCCAACATCTGTTTAAGACAGGTAGAGCCTAGGGACAGGTTTGGAAGGCGGTGTGGGCTACTCGGTCCCCACATCATCTGTGGTTATCTGGTCTGTATGATTTCATTTATCCACTCTTTAAATTTGCATAGGTTGGTGTAGATGCTTGGATAATCAAGTTGGCCACATGGACGGGTTCCCATGGACACAAGGCCCTGCAGGACCCCTTTGCACAACAGGGGGCCTCCAGAGTCTAACTGTTGAGGGAAAAGAAGAGAAAGTTAGGGCAGGTGGAGAGAAGGATGGAGGGAGACACACAGGAAGCCAGAAGCACAAAGAGGAAAAGGCAGAGGGAGACTCAGGGTGGAAACAAACAGTGCAAGAGCTGGAGGGCAGCAGTGAGAGCTGAAGACAGAAGCAGGGGAGATAGAGGCAGCAGGCCCCAGAGGTATATTGCGTACAGGACGCAGAGGTGATGAGGAGACAACCTGAGAACCTGGTGAGATTCCACGACAGTGAAAACACAGAGATCCAAGGGCCGATATGGAAGGATTTGCCATGAGATAGCCAATCACTCAAACCATAGCTTGTTGGCAGGCAGGGACAGTCTTGCCTCTGAAACACCAACTCTCCTTTCCAACCCTGGGAAAGCTCCCCTGAGAAGCTCCATCCCACCTGCATCTCCTTTTCCAGCCTTGCCTGAGTTTGAATTGGAGGGTGAGACTGGGTGGGAATTTGGGGGCTCTGGAGCCGTTGCAGTTGAGGATGGAGGTGTGCGAGGCAGTGGGGCTGGGAATCCTGAATGCAGTCAATCAGTCTGTTCTTACAGCTGTGTTCCTTCTCCCTGGACACTCCCGGTGTCCGTCCCAGTGTCTCTCCATCCCTCCTCTCAACATCATGACCCTCGCCTCTCTGCTGATTGCTTACTTCTCCCTGGCTCTCCTTGCCTGTCTTTGTGGCTGCCTTACCTTGTGTGTCTTTGTCTCCTTCTCACCTCCCAGGTCCTTCTCTCTCTGTCTCCTTGCACCTCTGTCTCTCCGTGTCCCTCTGAGTCTCCCTCATTCCTGCATGACCTTCTGCCCTTTGTGGGTTTTAAACTCCACCTCCATGCTAAAACCCTGCCTCCCTGTCCCAGTCTCTTACTCGGCAAGTGTTCCTGCGGCTCTCACCACCAGCACAGAACATACTGTCATGGTAGTGTTCGTCAAGCATGAATCTGCACTCCTGCTCTGCAACCACATGAACAATCGCACACTGCAGATCCAAAGCGAAGTAGCCTGAAGGAAAGGACACAGGGTCAGAAACACTCCTGCGCAGAGATACCACAGGTATCAGTGAGGCCAGAGACAGGAACAGCAAAACTCACCATCCAATAGCTCACCCCAACCACAGACCCAGCACATGGAATTAAGTGTGGGACATTCGGACGCAATGGGGATGGTCTGGATGGTGTCTGATTCCACAACTGATGTGTTCAACTTGATGAGCATGAGGTCACTACCATTCATAGGGTTGATGTATTGTGGGTGCTTCACGGAGTAGCTGGCCTTGATAATCTGGCTGCCGTTTATGTACCAATCATAAATTCCATGGAGGCCCAGCACAATGGTGTAGGATCTGAGGATGATGGAATAGTCAGTACCATTATAACGATATCCTTTCTAGGAGCCCAAACTCTGATGAAGACCAAAGTCAAATCCTAGCTTCATCCGCACTCATCCTCAACCCCAGTACCATCCCCATTGCCATTCCTGCACTCCATCCATCCAGATGCATGCCTGGTGCCATCCTCATCCCCACTTGGAAATCGTCCAAATCCCATTCCAATCTCCATCCCCAGATAGCCTCAGAACCTGATTATTAGGGTTGGGGCAAGAGAAACATTGTCTAATGTGTTAACTGAAGGAGCCACTAATGTTGCGGTTCAGTATAATATTTCTAAATTCAAAATTATTGCAAGAAGTCCACAATGCAGATCATATCAGAACTTGAAGGGAAGACAGTATTTGAGGTGCACCTCGCCCTGGCTCCACACCCACAGGATCTTGTTTATTTCAAATGTGGAAATTATGATCATCATGAATATTTGCATTGTCTTAATTTGTTTAAAATAAGACATTAACATATTTTTCCAATATAAGCTTTCGCCTCATCTCTCCCTGTACCCTGCCCTGCAGCCCAGTCCATACCTCAGTCCTCATCTATCTGTCTGTCTTCACCTGTCTCCCTCGCCTTGCCCCAGGCCCTTTGCACCCAGTGTCAAGAGATCCCTTGTCCACAGCACCTGGCTCCAAGGGCCTGAACTCAGATCCAAGCCCGCCTCTGTGAAGCCACTTTCTTCTAGGAACTTTCATACTCTTGTCAACCCCAGGGACCTGCCTGATTTCTCTTACAACATGAAGGATCCTTCAGACCCAGCATGAGATGGGAATGTCCCTCCAGCCTGGGGAAGAGGATCTCCCAGCCAGCCTCCCAGTTGAACGTTCCTCCAGTCTTGCTCCAGGCCTCATGTTTTAAAGTCGCAGCCCTGGACAGGTCCAGCCTCTGGGGCCGGGGCTCACTCCCCATCCCAGCCCCTGTGCAGCATTGGAACACCACTCTAAGCAAGACTGGGCCCTCTGTGCTCAAAGGCAGACTGGGACCTGCCCCTCCCTGCATGCAATGTCAGACCCTAAGCCCTGCCTACATTGCCCAGAAAAGAGAAGCCATACTCCAGCCCTCCCAGTCGAGCACACTGTCCCCCTCCTGCAGTAACCCCTACTGCATTTGCTCACGGTTTCCAGCAGTGCGCAGCTGACAGCACCCACTGCGGATGCACCAGAACTCCAGCACAGTAGTGCTCCAAATGGTAAAACAGTGCGGCCATCCAGGGCTGGGAGTGTGGAATGGAAGTGACTCCATCAGTAACACGTTTCCTGAGCAGGTGGAGCCGACCTGGGACATGACTGCTGGTCCCACTGGGAGGAATCTCTGCTTCTGCGGGCAGAATGAACACACAGCAGATGCAGTGGGTGGGTGGACACAATCCACTAATGGATGCAGTAGTGTATCCACTAGGTAATGGATGCAGTAGTGTATCCACTAGGGCTCAGGTGGGTCTGGTTTAAGAAGGCCCAGGTTACATCAGGAGGGCTGAGGAGGGGCAAGGTCTCAGTCTCTGCCTCTGGGGATCAAGCAGGGAAGATCCAAGGCAGGATACCTCCTCTGAGCCCGAAGTTTCACACTGTGCTCCACCACCCCAGGGGCATAGACCCAGTTTCACCACACAAAAGCCATTCCCCAGGAGGAGCAGCAGTGCAAGGTTAAGGACAGAGACAAACGTGCCTAGGATTCTGTCTGCTGGACATGCAGAGTGGACAGCCAGGCACAAAGAACAGTCACTGGGAGATCACTTCTCACCCTGGACCGAAGCCCACTGCAGGGTTACCTTCCCCTGGAGCTCAGGAGCGGTGATGTCTACAGGGAGGGAAGCAGCTGCCGCACGTCTCTGGCAGCTGGGACAGGTGGTCCATGCACAGTCCTGTCCCTGAGCAAATAACAGCTGACATCTGGACACTCGCCCATGGGCCACAGTCTGGGGAGCATGGGCCTTTATACTATAGTATGTAACCTGCTTTCAGAATACAGTGGGAGGGGAGAAACTGGGCACAGAGACATTACAGGCTTTGCCAAGGTAAGAAGTAGCAGAGATGGGCTCGGAATAAAGTTCCTGTCTCTGCATAAGCTGTGTTTCTATCCTGGTGCCACAAAGACTCCCAGGGGTCCTGTGGGTGGGGCAAAATGACCCATTTTGGGTGCACATGGGCTAGCACGCACCCACACTCAGATACCTGCGGCCGTGTGGATGACGCACACCAGGAAACAGAGCCAGAGGACTTCTGCTGTGGTCGCCATGTCAGCACCTGCTGTGGAGGGGACCTGGTGACTCTGGGACCTGCCCCCCAATACCAGGAGCAGCGAGAACAGACCTTGCCCAGTCTGCACTCTGAGACCCTCGCCAAGGAACAGTAACATACGACTGAGTTTGTCACCTTCTGCCTTATGACATTTATCCATGATCTGCTGGGGATGGACCCAGGACACCCCCAACACGCAACACCACAGAGCCATCCCTCTGCCTGCTGACGAGTGGGGGCTGGTGACCTTTTCTGCTAAGCCCTGTCCCGTGGAATGCAGGGTGTTTCACGCTCAATGCCAGCTGCTGTGCCCCTCCCCAGTAGGGACAACCAAAAGGCCCATTCTTCATCCAGGTCCTGGGAGAAGACAGTGTGAGCTCTGCCTGTGAGGACAGAGGAGGCAGGGAGACTGAGGATGGTGGAGCGGTTAGGGACAGAGTCAGAGAGGCAAAGACTGAGGCTGAACGCTGGAGCAGGGAAGAAGGGGCCCGGGCACAGAAGTCTCAGGTCACTAAGCTGAAGGAGACTGAGATGGAAATCAAGGTGCTCTCAGCACAGTTTCAGATGCAGCCTTATACCAGGCATCGCACTAACAGGAAACACGAGTTGACTCACTTTCACAGCCATCTCAGGTGTCAGGTCCTGATATTATCCCCATTCCATGGAGGGTGCAGACACAGACAGGCTGAGTAACCAGTGGAGAGGGCAGTAGAGTCTGTGCTCTTAAAACCTCACTGGGACTGGGCATGGTGGCACCACCTATAATCCCACTGCTCTGTAGGCAGGAGGATCTCAAAGCCCTCACTGTACACTGAGTCAAAGCGATGGACTAAGGGGGAAAAAGAGACACACACCCAGCAGGACAGAGACAAGAAAGAGGCAGGAACTCAAAGGGTGGGAAGCACAGAGCAAGCTTTGTGCAGGGAGAACACCGGGTTGCTCACCTGTCTTCTGCTTCTGCCGTTCAGGGCTCAGCTATCCTGTGTGGGACCGTGATCTGTGGGCTCCTGACTCTCACAGCCTTTGTAGGTTTTATAAGGATCGGCATGGGGGCTGGCCTGCCCTGGGGCCACTGGAACACTAGAGCCTGAAGGTTGAAAGATTAGAGTCCTGGGCACAGTGCCCCTGCCTGTCCTGCTTCTAATCAGATCAGGGCACAGGGAGCAGGGCTCTGGGCCGTGAGGAAGGAAGGGAGTGTGGGCTTGGGCCATGAACGACATGACCAGTTCTGTCTGGTCTCCCAACCTCTCTGGCTTACTCTTCCTATACCTCTTCTGAACAGCTCTTTGCTACCCTTAGCCTCTTGTCTCATGGATTATCTGGTTTGGACTCCTTCTTTTTGAAGCTGTGTATTAAATCTACATTAAATGATGTAAATGTACATGAAATCAAGACAATCTGTGTCTCTATATGTGTGGCCCTGGTGATTGAAGCTAGCATCTTCTCGCTGAGCTCCATTCCAAGGTATTTTTTAAAGTTTCATTTTGAGGCACAGTCATATGACTTCCTCAAGTTGCCCATGCTGTGCTCAAACTTGAGAGACTCCTGCTTCATTTTCCCAGAGACCTGGGCTTACAGGCATGTAGCGCCACAGGCAGTGTATTTTTCTGTCCTAGGCATGTACCAGGTAGGGTGTGGCACACTCTACCCCAGTTTCAGCCACACCAAATCGTAAATTGATGAACACACCAGGCAGGTTTGTACCTGCCTCAGACTGTGAGTTAGCTATTCCTTTTGCCTGATGTCTCCCTCAGTCATTCTCTCTTTCCTCTGAATCCATGTACAATTGTGCAGGTGTTCCAATGGCAGCCACATCTCACCGACCCATCTAGGTCCTTCCTCAGTTCCATTCAGCTCAACTCAGCCCCAGCTCATTGCAGAGTTCGAAGCAGATCAAGTTGTAAAGGATGTCCACTGGATCCCTCAGGCTGAGGGCTCAGGGCCTCAACAGTAGCCCAGCCTGGCAGACTGATCACAAGCCCCCATAGTCACCTGCACTTCTGACCTGCCAGCCATAAATCTGTTTGCACATCCCAAGCCTAGGCATCTGGAAGCCTGGGTCACAGAACTTTGGGAGACCCTGACACTTTTTTGTGTATTATTTCATGAGGGGTA